CCCTACCTCGATCCCTTCGCCTACGCCACCCTCGAAAACCTCTCCGCCATCGAACAGGAAGCTCGCGCCCGCCCGCACGACCCCGTAACGCCCCGCTTCAAAATCGAGCACCACCTCGACAAAATTCGTATCGTTAACAGTCTCCACGCCAAGATCTTCTTCGTGAAGGACGCGGACGGGTACCCTAGGAAGCTCGATGTGCCCGCGAACTGGAAGCATGCTGTAGGTATCGAACATCACTTTGATGCGAAGGATTGGAAGGGCTTGGCCAGGCCAGTGGGGAGGGGATTTGAAGGTATGGAGTGGCCGCCGAGGGATGTGGAGAGTTTGTTGTGGGCGGATGAGGGGGCTTGTGTCGGGTGTTTGGTGAAGGCGAAGTATGCTGAGGATGAGAGCGTTACGCTTTATGCGGCTGAGTGTGGTACTGGGAGCTATGTCGTGTACTGGGATGGCGAGGGATATTGTGTGGGCATTGTTGAGCACAATATCAAGAGCCGGGAAGTCCTGACTATGCAAGATGAGACTGAAGACCAGGAGACGTCGAAGAAGAGGAAGAGGAGCGGTCAGATGAAGAGGGGAAAGAAAGCTGTCGAGGTACCCTGGCTAGCGCTGCTCATCCAAAGCAAAGGTACGTAACTTCCAGCGGTTTTTCCCTAGATTTTAGTACCCTGAAGCCTAACAACCTCCTAGATCCCGCACTAAAGCCCTGCTCCTGCAATCTTGAAGTATGGAAGAACCGAGAGGAGAAGTGGTACGAACGATTCGAACTTCGCAATATCGACTCCAACACCGTCGGTGTCTTTGCTCTCAGATATTTACCAGCAGACCATGTTGTTGGTGAGACCGTTGGCATTCTGCTGCCCGACGAATCCGAGTTCTCAGTCCCGGGCGAGACAGAGCGACTTTCCTCCCTTACTGAAACGTCATTCGAGTCCATTGCCGACGAGATCAAACACCGCTGGCCCATTACCCTCGGTCGACCCAACGACCCCTCAACTGCGATCTTCGCGTACATTGAAAACTACGTCTTCGGAAATTTCACCAGGTTCGTCCGACATAGCTGCAATCCCAATGCACAGCGAAAAGAGTGCAGACTTGGAAACCGAAGGATGAACGTACTTATCTCTATTCGAGCTATCGCCAAAGACGAAGAAGTCACAGAGGATCTAGGGTATGACTACGTCAGGGCAGTGGGAGCATGCGATTGCGGAAGTGATAGATGTTGGCTCCGGAAGCAAGCTGAGGAAAATGACATGCAGGACTCGAGCGTCCCCCCAGGAGCGGTTCAAGACCTCAGCATTCGTCGAGTTGCGTACGAGCTCGTGGAGGTTGAGACAGGAAAACATATCGACGGAGGAGGTTGTGCATTGATGGAGTTGTAAGCGCGTACGAAGAATGCTGGACCTCATCGATGGGGGTGCACAGGAAACCGATTGACTGAAATATTCGAGTTGTTCTCCATAGAGCACGCCGAGAATCGCGACTTGTGTGTAGAGGAGGTGGTTTCGGCGCGTAGAGCGTCCTTGTTCTGAAAAGTAGCGAAACAGGTAGTTCCGTTGCGAGATTGAACGCGCCCTTGTAGTGCAGACTGCTCTTCCCCTGTACTTTCGGTCAAGCCGATTGGACTGCACGACGGGGGACGCATAGATTTTGCTCGTAATGCAGTATCTAATGTGACCATCTTCAAGATCACCCGTGAGCGTTCGGAAAGGTCGCCGTTCGGCCTGTAAGCTGGGTATGATTAGTACAATTCACGATCGTGATCCCGTTGTACTCGGGGTCGTCCATGGCAGTACACTATTCTCTGCAAAGTAGACGAATGCCGTTAGCGTAGAGTTATCAAGTATTAGCGATCGGGAGGAGTGGAGTATCGCTGGCGCCATGCAGACCAGCCCGGGAGCAATAATAGGACTTGAGGCGCGATGTTATGTAGGTTGTCTGAATGGGGTAATCAGGCGAATGGAGAGCGACTCATATTGGCGCAGCTGGGATCATGACAGATTCTCGCAGTTCACGATGGTTCCATCAGCTACAATTAGGTTACACCACGAAGGGAGACAAGTTGCGAACACATTTCCCTGATAAGGCATCGCCTCGTGGGCAGGCCGCGTTCGAACAGCTGGTGGGGACAAAAGCGAGCGCAAGCCTTGCTGGCGTTTTTGGCAACGTGTAAGGCGCCCGTGGGTGCTCCCGTGGCCCCCAACCTAAGCAGCATGCTGCGATGAGCTACTCCCACTAGGTTAGCGAATGAGACACCAAACAGAGTCAATACAGGCATATCGAGATAGATAGTAGCCTAGGATCTCATTTCTGCTCTAGGGAATTTGCCGATCACCCAGGTATTGAATATGGCTCTTGCATGAGCCCACAGTAGATCCTAAGCAAATGAAGACAACCTGTCGCTGGAGTGTTTAGATATTACCCTCGGGAAAGCTGCAAGTCCAGTCGTTTGGAGTAGGCATTGGAGCAGTGTTGGGAATATTGCTGCTCTCTCTGAACTCCACGATCTTTCTCTGGCCATCCACAATCTTGACGACGGCAAATGCTCCATCTGTAAAGTAGAGCGTCCTATTGTAGAAAGTAGAATAGCCACCCTCCCAGCCAATTGCGTATACCAGTCCGCCTTTGTCGCCGTTAGAATTTGGCACAGCGAGAGTACTCGTGAAACCATGCTCGAACGGGGCGAAGCTCTTGCCAATCGTCACATTGATGTTGCGATAAGCTTGAAGCCAGCCGTCGTAACCGTAGTGCGTGTCATTGAACGTGGCCTTAAGATCTTTGCTGAAGGCGGACGCGAAGACTTGGTCCCATGGCCCGTTGGCGGGATAAGGGAAGAAACCTGAAGCAAGTCAGCCGTGTGCGGCGAGGTGTCGTCCGGGATGGGGCTGACGCACCATTCGCCTGACATTGGAACCAGTTGGAAAGTTGAATGCTTGCGTTGACTGATGGAGAATCTGCGAGCGAGCATGGGTCCGGAGCGGCGTAACCTCGCGACTGCACTCTCAGTTCATCGCTTGGCGGCATCGCGACTGCAGTGATCGTGGACACCATGCCACAAAGGGCAACTACACCTCGCGTCAGTAATGAAACACCATACTATTACCTTTGATGTGAGGAAGCAGGAACGGGAAAGATTAGCGTCAGCTTGGGTTAAGGTGATCTTACGGGCGAAAGTGACCAAGCGCATGATGAGAAGCCTGTCAAGCTGCGCGTTCAGGTGAATGTATGGATTGAAACGTGAGGTTGATCCGTCTGCTGGAGCGAGAAAGCCTAGAGGATGACTGTCGCAGAATTGCGGCGTGGAATAACCTTAAAAGGTTATAGGGAAATTGTTTCGCGCGAATATAAGGAGGGTGCCGAGTGAGAGCCAGTGTAAGGCGGTTCCTGATCTGCGTGTCCAGCTGTGCGTTGTGGGTCGCGACACACCCTCGTGGTTGCCTTTCACGCCGAAGTCGTCACTCCTGGTGAATGGGACGATAGTTTGTTTCGAGGCGGCCTCCACAGAGTTCACTGCTGTGCCTTAGGACTCTCCAAGGCCTTTAAATGTTCTGTCGCACGCAATTAAATCAAGAGTTGGTTTCGCTGCACGCGAACGCTGGGACCCCGGTCAGCCCCCAAATGGCAAATGGCAGCAAACCAACGATTCGGTCCTAGCGCATCAGCGACCTGCGTTACTAAACCCTGCAAGACGGTAGCCAGATCTTGGATCTCAGACATGGACGCCGAAGCCGAAGCGGAAACACCATGCGGCTCGTAAGGCAGTTTGTAAACATGTATAACGTCTGCGCCCCTCATGCTGTCTCGACTAATCGGAGGCTCTCAGCCCAGCCCATGCCACTTAAGCCTCGACCTTGCCTCCCAGATGGTGTAATACTTTCTCATAGGTGTTCTGTGTTTCTTGTTCGTACATAATAATCGCTGTCCCCCATTCCTCGTCCTTAGAAACTTTGTCGTCATAAGCTTCGAATCTTCCTGCACCGAACTTTTAGCCTTCTCCATGCGTCGATCCCAAATGCTTCAGCATTATCGCAGTAAGCAAAGAGAATATCTGGATTGGAGATGCCAACAAGAGAAAAAGCAAGAGAAGTCAGGGTACATTGCTCCCCATCTACGTGAGATACGGAAAGAATGGTTCACCAAACGACTCGATAAATACGGCAAGGAGCTGTCACGAGAAGACGCTCTGCGAAGTGAAGGAATCTCTCATGCAGCCGAATCTTCGGACGATTCAGAAGCGGCGGCAAACAAGGTTTGGAGATGGCTGAACAGTGAGGAGGAAGAGGAGCAGCGAGCGCAACCGTTACATCGAGAAGCCAAGTGAGGATGCAGGAAAGACAGAAATGGTAAGTAACCGAACGCGTGCTGGAGACGCTATCTCTGACATAAGGCTTAGCTGAAGAAGCTTGAATATTATCGCATCGGTGATGTCTCGTGCGATACAACACCATCTGCCGATCGAGTTGAGGCTCGAAAGATGATGGCAGCAATGTGCACCATGTGTTGGCCCTGAAGCGCTGCATGCATGTCCCGACCTAGCGGCATCTGGGGACAGTAGTGAACAGTAAGAGCTGGCTGAGGGGGCTCGTTGGTCATGGGAGACGCTCAGTTGATATCACTCAAAGACGAGGAATTCTGAGATATGAAACGCGTGAAGGTCGCAGGACGCCGCTCTGGTTTATAGAGGACATGTACCTCTAGTGCTCGCTGACTCCCAATGAGCGTTGCTCAGTAAGTTGAAATTTTTCGGTCGATGCTGCTGCGAGTGAGACGAATATGAGGGTTGCTATCTTCGTAGCCAACGTAACGCAAGTGCAACTTCGACAATAGTGCCCTTAGGTAACTTGTTAACTCATTCATGTGCTTTTTTCCGACATGACTCTTCGTAAGCTAAAATCTGAAAGTAACAGCCCTTCGTCGGTTGATGTTCGGCTCGGCGCAAATTTTGCGTTTGACGATATATGTCCTGCAAACGAGAAAATTCAACATCTAACAACAACAACGCCCGGCTGGCACAATTGGTCAGCGCGTAAGACTCTTAATCTTAAGGTTGTGGGTTCAAATCCCACGTCGGGCTCAATTGTCGTTTCTTTTTGTTTTTCTTTTTATCAGTTTTTTGCAAGCCTCTGGAGTCGTTTGGATCAGATGATCTCAGAGTCGTACGCCGCCGAGGCTGAGTGGTGCATTTTAATCGTCAATCATGTCTTTCAACGCGATAAGCTGCCGATACGATTGTCAGTGGAGAATTCTTTTTGTCCGAAAGAACTACATGAAGGACTCGTGGCGACAGTCGCGGTAACAGGGGGACACGTGTCATGCTTTTGCACCCTATCACAAGCAAGCATCTGGTCGGTACGCCAGACTGGGCGAGGACAACGGCGGAGTTCTTGGAGATGGAAAAGTTGGATGATGGTTGTAAAGACATGGAGGTTGGGATGAGGGGTTGAACGCGCCGATACGTTTCATCCGAGAACGGCAACGCTCCACTTGGCGTCCCTGAGGCCTCTGCAATCATCCCTTCCAAACTAGCTAACCTCTCAATCCTATTTCCTTCGCGTTTCTTCAAACTTATCATATCGACAGTACCTTGTTGACGATGCGGATATCTGCTTGCCGGAGGCTGAGCGTACGGACAAGGACGAGCCAAATATAGGCACGGCAAAGGTTCGTGTGGACCCCACTGCCAGCCTTACGCTCCCATATTAGCCGGAACACTGCGACCTACGTTCCCATTCTGGAAGTAAATACGCAGTGCGGCCTCCAAACACTTGCAAATGACACGGCCTATGTTTAGAACTATAGTTCGTGGCCTTGCAATAGTCTTCAACCTTAGGATCCTTCCGTTCCATTTCCTGGTCTCAACAATCGGTCCGTCGAATAAAACACTAATCCAGATAACATAGCTATTTGCATGATGATGTAGATCTGGAAATTACTTTTAGTTGTGGAATCGTTCGATCTGTTGCTGACTCAATAATAGCAAGAAGAGCTAATGAACCTTTTGTCTGTAAACAACTACAATTGTTTCCCGTAGTTTAATAGTCTATATTAAAAGTGGAGCTAGCTTTCAGAATCCCAGAAAAAACCCTTTTTGAATAAAGGCGTGTATATATGTGCATATAAAGATGTGTGGGGTTCTCGATTTTGGGCAAAGAAAACGCGAGCGGCTCGCGTTTTCTTTTGCCCCAAACCCGTTGTTCCTAGGCTTGACACCGAACCCTCAGGCCTACTTCTCATAACCTATCTCATAATTCAGTTCTAATAATCTCGTTTGTATAGTCTAATTCTTATGATTTAATTCTTGTAAAAAGTAGTCTAGATACTTCTTTATATTAAGATACTTACGTATGCTGTCAAAATTTCTACAACCTTAGTCAAAACAATTCTGATAACTACTATGTCTCTGCTGTATATGTTCTTCACTCCATTTGGATCTGTGCTACACCCCATACTTAGATTCCTTCATCGTTATCAGTACTGCCACAGAGACCATAGATAATGAATTTACAAAGAGTATCCAAAACTCTCCTGGCAGTATAATGCCGACAATAGGATTCAAGTTACGATCATTACTTTTCCTACTCGCTACATACACAAAGCGAACCATATATCGCATTACACCGATGCATCAAACGACATGTCCAGCTTCGGCATATGCCACCTCCTATCCACAGCCCCTTGTCCAGCTAACGTCCCATTCACAGTCCCATTCCCATACGGCCCAAGACTCGGCGGAACATCCTGCGCTCTCGTACCCCAAGTACTCTCACTCGCACCAAGTGTCAACTCGAGCACCCCTCCCTCCAAGAAGAAACTATGCTGCAGCCAATTCCGCGTGTACGGCTTTCCATCTAGCGTAGCAGACTGGATGTATATGTTTTTAAAACTCGGGTCAAAGTTGACATTCCGAATCGTCGCCGTCTTCCCAGTTTGTCCGTTCTTAATCGCGACCGATTCAAAGAACGGCGGAGTGATGAAATACACATCCTGCCCCGCATTCGGAAAAATCCCCATCATCGTGAGCGCCTCAAAACTCCCCATAGCGCCCGAATCGTCATTCCCAGGGATGCCGTTCAGCGTATCGTTGAACTGGCTCGGGATATAGAAATGTGTTCGCTCTGCCGACTTCCCTGGCCGGCCGGCGTAGTGGTACAAGAAAACTTTGAGAAATGCTTGTTCGTCGCCGATGTACAGGATTCCGGATTCGTGGAGGTAGTCGAGACGCTTTACGAAGGGGTCGCGGCCGCCGAGGGTGCTGATTAGGGTGGACATATCGCCGGGGACGAAGAATGTGTACATCCAGCAGGATCCTTCGTATGTCTCATGACCACCTGGATTGAGGTAACATTGTGGGAATTCGAGTAAGGGCGAGCAGTAAATCGGATCCTGGTAACCCCACGTTCCATTCATGTACTTTGGCTGCAGGAAACCGACGAAGCCGGTATCCGTTTGGTTGATGAAGCTCGTTTGGTCTGCTTTGTACATGTTCTTCCAGTTTCCGGAGCGGCCGAGGTACTTGTGGTAATCGTCTGTGTAGCCAAACTCTTTGGCTAGCGTGGCGATGCAGAAGTCGTTGTAGGCGTACTCGACGGTCCTGGAAATAGAGCGTGTTTCGGTGCCGGTACCAAGTTCGTCAAAATTCTCGGTCGGGATGTAGCCAAGCGCTTTCCAGGAGGTCAAACCGCCGCGGCCTGGAGGAGTTAATGTCAGAATCGCAGATAAGATGAATAACAGGGAACTTACCTTCAACGTCCCAGTTCATAGGCTCAACTTCTGCATCTGAGATCAGGGCCTCATAAGCCAGCTTCCAATCGACACCTGCGGTAATGTTCTTGAAGTAAGCGTCCACGAGCACTATATCTGCATTCGAGCCGCCCTGAGTGAAGCCTGCAAGATAATCAGCCTGATATCTCAACTGGACACTCGAAGAAAATACCTTTGCAGAAACTCATCCGGCAATCCGGTAATTTGCCTTCATGTCGATAAATATCCAGTAGCGAGCGCACCATCAGCGTCTGCGCGTGCGGATCCAACAAGGTGATCAAGGGATGGATACTCCTGAAAGAGTCCCATATACAGTAGTAAGAATCGTAGTACGGCTCGTTGCTCTTCCACAGTGGGTTCTCGCCAGTATAATCCTGCGGACTGATCATACTCCTGTATACGCCACTCCAGAATGCTTTCAGAAGAACATCGCTGATGCCACCGTCATCGATCTGTATCACATCGAGCTTCTCCCTCCAGACTTTTTCAGCGGCAGCCACGGTACCATCGAAGTCGAACTTAGGAATCTCGGTCTCGGCGTTCCTGCAAGCCTGCGCCTCACTAATGAAGCTCATACCAACTCTTGCAACAATTTGATTCTCCGCATTCGTCGGCTTGTGGAAGCGCACCCAACCACCAGATGGCCGTACGCTCGGTTGCTTGTTATTATCCGCAACAATCCTCAGCTTTTGAGCTCTACCAGCACGGGAATTGGAAAAGATGCCCGCGTCCCGTAACTGCGCGCCATCAAAATCGGCACAGAAGTAGGATTTGTAGCTGCCGATGCCGAAACTGGGCAAGAAAGTTCCTCCGCCGGTCAGACGACCATTTGGGCTGTGAACCGTGATGATGCCGTCGCTTCGGGTCTTTGCAAGATCCTCCAGCTCTAGCAAGATCAGTGGATTGAGTGTGGTGTTTGACGTTACTGGTGTGTCAGGGAATGAAAATCGATATAGCGCCGTATGGTTAGTTACTGTCATCTCGGTCCGGATATTGGACGCAATGGTAATGTCGAAGTACCCTGGTCGCGCATGGACTGTCCCATTTATCCTCGGCGTCTCTCGCTCCCACGATGTGTAGTTGCAAGTGTTGATATCGTCATTTGGACAGCCGGCGAAAGGAAAGATCGGGAAGTTTCCGAGAGAAGAGCCTCCTCCAGTTCCCGAGTCGTGCATGTGCGAAAAACCAATGATGCTGCTGTTATCTGATGAGAATCCTCCCTGATTTTCTCCGTCAACGTCGGGCCCGGCTTTTGCCATACCAAACGGCAGCGTTGCACCTGGAAATACGTGTCCGCCATTGATGGTTCCAATGAGTGGGTCGACGTAGTCGTATCCTGATCTCGACCCGTTTTGCGCGTTCGCGACGGAGAGGGCGCTCAACCAGGCAGCGGCCGACAACGTTCTTCTCCAGTCGACACCCATCTCGAAACACTTAACGAAAGCGTCTTACAACAGGACTGAAATCGACAAGAAGCCCTCGATCCCACCGGGGCAAAAGTTCGGGGCCCCGCATGTTTTATTCCAAGCATTCCAACCCATCTTGGCAGGTGACAGCCATGTGCAAGTAGTCAATGTAACCGCTGCAGGTCGACTCGTCGGCCCACCCACCTGCTCTATCCAATGCCGGAAATCTCGAGCTCGCGTCCTGGCCGCGGTGATGCAACCGTGCTTCGATGTGCCGGGAGTGGCTGCGGGGTACGTTAGTGCTCCGGTAGTATTGCAGATCCTATGGCAGATTCGGGGTTTAATAATCCCGCCTTGGAGTAATTAAGTCAGGGGCGTGCAAGCGAACGGTGTTGTTTATGCGAGAAGAGGCGAGATCAATTCGAACTCTTTTAGAGAAGCTGCCGGCTTGGCTTCTCTTTCGAGGCGTTGGGGTAGATTGGAGGCTTCCCAGGATGTTATTGCGCGTGGCACGAGTGCTCATTCTGTTTGTCAGATTATAGGACATTATACTTAGAGGATTCGAGCGGGGTACATGAGCGATGTACCACCTGGCAGGCCTGGAGTTGTTGGAGGATGCATCCGAATCTGTTGCGAGCATCTCCGATGTAAAGCGAACCCGTTAAGGATTGGGAAGCTTGGATGTCTTCGAGAGAGCAGGTTCATTTTCGCAGAATTGCAAAGTGGCATGTTATAGATGGCGTTGCTAGAGGAGGAGAGGTAGTGTCAGACGAAAGTACATCGAACCAATGTCGTATCGTACTATTTTAGGACTAGTGCCCTGACCTGTTCCACGACCAGGTCTGCGCTCCAGGCATAATACTTCGAAAATGTTTGTGTAGCTCGCAAAATTAAGCTCTCGTCACAC